GCTTGGGAATAGAGTAGGCGTGCATTTAGAGAGGGTGTGCATTTATAGAGTGTGCATTTATAGAGGGTTGACTGTATATACTAATACTAATACTAATATTCATTATACATGTGATGTTTTAGTTGATTGGACAAATGAAGAATCAATTCTCAAATGGATAAGAGAATATCAACAACCTAAAGATTCAGTTCCAGATAGGGTATGTTTGTTCTAAGCATATGTCAAACATGCATCTGAATTTTCTTCTGATTTAATGTTTATTTAATATTTTAGCTTATTGTATATTGGTGCTTTTGGGCATCTTTTCCTCTTTGTCATTAAGAAGATACATTTAATACTTTGTGGTATGGCACCCCAGAATGAAATGGCATCCTTTCATGTTTTCAACATCATACATCACCTTGCACCCACTCCCCTTTTTGGCATGTGGCCCAGGAACAGGAAAGAGCTGATTCCTAGAGGAGGCTGCAAATTTGATTATTAATCACAACTGATAATGCTGGTAAAGTAGCCAGACAGCCACTGATGCTTTACCTCCAATTTTCTCATCACATCGACTTGCAGACATCCCATTTCCATATGTGATATTAACAGCAATGAGATTGGAGAAGGCAGTCTTAAGATTATTATCATTGGAATTATCTACTTGATGCATAATATGATGTTCCAAAGATTGGGCTTGAAGGATTTAGTAAAGTGGGGAACATAGGAGATTTGTAATTGAGGACTGCTGTGGAACTTGTTGCCTCAGATATTCTTGAGATACACTGAATAATCCTGTCATAGTCATCATTGGTGTTGATGAACTGAACTTACTCCATCAAATTAGTCAACAAGCTCTTCGTGAGGTTGTGCATGCTGTTGGAAGCCAAAGCTGCCAGCCTGGGAAAATTTTTGTCATCCCCATTCTAGCTGGTACAATTCAAGGGCCTATGGAAGAACTTGTTAAAGAATCAACATACCTTCTTCTGCACTCCCACTTCCCCCCTCACTGATAATGATATGCTGCATATTGCTAGTTCGCTCAACCTGCCTAGTGACTATATCTATAACAATGAAGTGTTTCATCGCTGCCTTTCAGATATTAATATACAGTGTGTTACAAAAAAAAGTGGAAAATTTTTCATCGATTGAAAACGTATATTACTCAAATGTAATCAGATTTTGGTGATACAAATTGGAAGATCGCCAACTATTTCAGGATGTTTACAACTTTAGCAACGCGTAACTTTTACTTATAGCGTAGTTACTGACAAAATGCCCGTATCGAAGCTAGGAAATCAACGCAAATCCGTATTACATTTGTGGAAGAATGGCATTCGTAATGCCAAAGAAATACATGCAGGGACGAAAATTGGTCTCTCGACTATTTATAAAATGATTAATAAACTTAAACGGACGGGAAACCTGCATCACGCCAAAGGTAACGGTCGCCCGAAGAAGATAACGGCTGTTGTGTCACGTGCTCTAGGCCAGTATGTACAACTGTGTCAGACTAGAACTCATGTAACAATTGCAAGACATTTGCAATCAGTAGGATATCAAAAAAACCTACCTCAAGCCACGCCAATGTTAACGGAAGTGCATAAAAGCAGGCGTATAGAGTGGCCCATCAGTACCTCAATGATGATTGGTCACGGACTTTATTTTCTGATGAGACTGTTTTTCAGCTCTTCAGAAAAACAATTGAGCATTGGCACAAAGGTAAAAGGCCAATTCGTCCAATACCAAAAGATCGCTCAAAAATTTTTGCGTGGGGGGGGGGGGGGATTTTGTGCACAAGTAAAACAAGCCTTTTTTGTTTTCAGCGAATTATGGACGCTCAATTTTACGTCGAAATACTTGACAATCACATTCCTGAGATTAATGAGATGTTGGGTAATGAATGGCGTTTTCAGCAAGACAATGACCCAAAGCATACAAGCCGTCTCGCTAGGGCATTTCTTGCAGAAAATATGCCACAAGTCATGGACTGGCCATCTAACAGTCCTGACCTAAACCCAATAGAAAATTTATGGAGTATTGTCAAGAAAAATGTAGAAAGGCGCATGCCAAAAACTCTCCTCGAATTAGAGCGATTTATGGTAGAAGAATGAAATGATATTCCAAATTATGTTTTCTAATTAATCTAGTTCAGTCAATGAAACGACGTTGTGAGCTTATAATAGAAAAAAATTGTGAACGTATTCCCTACTAAAATTTATATGAATAAAAGCTTAACCTTTGAGGTTTTAAACAAGCTATGATATGTGGCATTCCATACAGTTTTTATGATGCAATGATCATTTAAAGAATTTCACTTTTTTTTGTGACACACTGTAGGTGGAATGGCTTGAGCTATGGAATTTTTTTTTTAGCAAAATCATGGAGGCGAAACATAACAATGAAAATGACGAGGAAATTATTGACAAGTCTCCAATCAATTTGCTGAATAAAATTAATGTAATAAAACTAATGCAAATATTGGCAGTTGACTTAACCACCAAATATCCCTTCAAAAAATATGCAAGGTTTGCCACTCCAATGGTGGCACATGCTATCCTGGAATTAGCAGTCAAGGATTCTGATGGTTTTAAAGTTATACAACAGGAGGGCATAAAGACTGCTGAGTACTTTGCAACGTACAAAGATATCAAGTCAGCAGGTATCATCAATCTTGACCTTGCTGACCCACTTACCAATTTATGGTATATCCGCCTCCCATACTTGTGGTTATATTTAATTGTCTCAGAAGCTGGTGCAAAATCACCTTTCAAAAGATGGCAAAAATTTATCAACCCTGAAAAGCCAATATATTATATATTGGGAGGAATGGGAGTCATTTTGCATGGAATTCTGGGCTTTACTGTTATCGTATACGATTATAATATACTTAGAGTGCGTGCGTTTAAATTCATCACACATCAGAGCATGTTCTTTATTCGAACCAATAACTTATTTAGTGACTCAAGCATTTTCCATTGGTACAGTACGGCTTAAAAATGTGTGGCTTAGCTAATCGATCCGCATCGTTAATTTCAGCTTCAGCTATCCTTCTCCCTTGCTGCATCCCAGTCAAGTTGGCAGTCGCGTCCTGCAGGTGGGGCACACTTGTTTTCTATTTTCAATATTTTGTTGATTGCAACTTGGACATTTTTTCATACTGTTAACATTTGCCGCTGTAGACGTAATAATGGAATCAATGGTATTAGTTGATGATAATTTTTCTTCAGATAGCAAACTAAGAATCTCAGAAACGTATATATGTAATTCTTTGTCAAGGGCTTCTTTCATTTCAAAGCTGATATCAAAGAGTTCTTCGTATTGCAATCTGTCATGAGAATAAGCCCAGGGTGAATCAGTATGTTGAATTCTGTTTTGCGATTTCATATTGAAAACCACAAAACTCGTAACAATATGGTAAACCATTGTATTGAATCCACGATCAAGATAGGTTTTCTGTCCTCTTTGTTCATTATCAAACGCAAGAAACAAAAGGCCCTCGGGTAATGGTTCTTCACGTTCTGATAACTCTTCTAGCCAGGTTTGGAACCGAGAATAGCCTCCTGCACTTGTAATATGATTGTCGATATTTATAACCTTCTTTGATCGTGCGATTGAATATTTAATAGCTGATGCAGCAAGATGAATTTCTGAGACATATTTTCCATGTCGTGCACCGTAGATTGAATCAACTGCGACAGCAGCTTTAAAAAGCTTCTCGAGACTCAACGGAATATTGGTATGTTGATTGTTACGAACCAGAGTTTCAACAAACTTAACAATGACTTGGTTGCGTTTGCTTAGCCATTTATACGGATCATATGCCACAAGATTGTCTATTGAAAACCGTCTGTTATCTTGGATTAATGATTTTACATCATCATATAGTGATATGCGCTCTTCCTCGGCTATTTCAACAATTGCATTAATACGTTTACAATGGTCAGAAAATCGTAGATTCCAGCGTTCAGTAAGAGCTTGATTCTGTTCACGCTCTTCTTCATATAAGTTCCGAATCTCTGTCATATCGTCATAAACCTTCCGTAGTCGTTTATTTAGTTCTTCGATTTCTGTTCGTTGGGATTCAACGTGCCGCTGCATTCGTGCAATTCGATCCGATCAGTCAGATCTGCTATAGTCTGCGATTTCTGTCGATTTCTAGCTGGGCAAGTTCCAACAGTCTTCTAGTTTCATCAAAATCGGCTTGAGCAATTTCATCTTCACTACAATCAAGTCGTGATCTTTTGCTTTCCTGAACGGAACTTATGAGATGCTGATAAAATTGATTAGTAGCAATAGTTTGGTTATAGTGTCTTTCACAAATCGCATAAGATCTTAACGAAGAATGAATATTAGCAAGTTCAGGAATATAATTATGGTAAAGTGCGAGCCGCTTAGCTGTTTCTTGGGTGTTCGCATGCCGCCAGATTTGCGGTTCCTTCGTTTCACACAATCTTAACCCAACTTCATTATACTTGTCAACCAAGCTGGAAAAGATGCATGGAAGGTCTCTTGCTCGTTGTTTTTGATAAATAGACACTGCCAAAAAAAGTGTTTGAATACAACTTAGTTAGCGAGATTACGTCCTTTACTTCGTCTTAATTCGTCAATACATGCCAAAGCTATGATTTTCACGTCTCATTTACTTTTTCGAAGAGAGTTGATTATTTTTGATTATTAGCAAATATGAAAAGTAGAGGTCTTTTTCTGTATGTTCGTATGGTTTTTAGCCACTGTCAAATAATGTGAAAATCCACAAAGAATGCAGACGTGAAGAGTATATGAGCCAATCATATTTCAAGAATTAGTCTGCAGATCATTCTAGAACACGTTTCCTTTTTTGGTATAATCCCTGACTGTAGTGTGTATAGGTCTATAAACCACATGACCATGGTAATATTCGGCATGAAATTCATGCACTGCACGAAACACCGTTATGCAAATAGCGCATGACTTAAATTCATTGTACCACAATCATGACAACATGTTATACGAACAACCTACAAACTTCACAAAACCAAATAATGAAAGTGCGAACTATCAAATATAACACTGCTGGATAACGAAGACACTCTGATGTGTAGACTTAAACACGACAAGGTTATTTTGAAACAGTCTTGTATAACAAAATTTACTGCATCATGGTTATTTCGCTCAGTGAACGTATGAACTATGCTGAATTACTATTAAACATCGTCTTAATGCTGACAACACACATAGTCATATCTGAAAAAAACTTTGTCACTTAACAAAATATCATCATGGCATTAAATGTTTTATTATTGTAAACTGTATTGTAAACTGTACATTTGACAATATTTTGTCGTAAAACGAGGGAGAGTACTCAAAAACCCTATTTAATGTTGACTAACAACAAGCTTGCTGTAGACAATATAAAGTACGTGCTGTCACTAAATTGTTTTACTTATTAATATTAAAAAATTAAATATAAAAAATTTAATATAACAAACAAAACTAAAAATTTGCGGTTGACTGAAATAT